AACCCAGTGCTTTTCTCCATACCCCAAAGCCTATCTCGCCTACCCCCTGGTCCTCCTTCGCGCAAACCCCTAATAGTTGGTGCCGAACACGAGCCCCCAGTAGATGAGGTTAAACGTGAATATAACGAGCGGGATAACGATGTACCGCGAGGCCAGCATGATCTTCTCGGCCATCGGAGAAACTCGCCGCCACACGATGACGTTAGCCGCGAAGCCTCCCCTCCCCCGCGCGGCGCCGTGTTGAAGGGACGAACCTGCGTCAGCTTCGCCTGCTCCAGCGGCCGCGATGTATCACCAGGTGCTCCACGATCACGTGCGTCCACGATGATGAAGAAGAGCAGGAGATGCAGCGAAGAAAGAAACCAGACGTCGATCAGCTTGACGTAGGCGGTGACGGGGAGGGTGTCGGAGGTGTTGCTGAAGAGGGTGTACAGCCCTGAGGAGGAGCGAGTCAGGCCACCGTGTAAACAGCACGAGCTGGTCATGTCGTCCACCTCAGTTTTCCCAACACCATCGTTGGGGTTAGACGTCGTGGAAAGGCGGGGAACAATTTCGCTAAGTAGTTATGAATGATAATCAATTGGTTCCCTATACACGAGATGTAATTTTAGCGATGTTTTTGTTTCATTGGAATATTTTGATGAAGAGAAAACACCTCAAAGGGCCAGTTACATGTGTTAGTATCTTTGTAAAGTTACTTATTCTCATATTCAATACCTTCTGAATCAACAATGAATTCTGTTCAAGGTTAAATATTTTGATGAGTTCATTCGCGCTTCCTGGTATAAATCCCATCAAATGCTGCTGCTACTAAAAATATTTCCATCTGTATAATACTCCATTCTGATGTAGAAAATTGTGTAAATAAGGATGAACAACTGCGAGATGCGCGTCGATTAAACTTCTGATGAAATAAAATTGACTGAAATTACAGCTCTTGCCTTATGAAGTTATTCATTCTCATTCACATTTTCCCCTTCTAGATTTGCCCAAAGCAACTCCTGATAATTCTGACGATCTTCATAACCGGAAGCCCAAATAAAGTCGTGGCCAGTGAGGTCACTCCCAACCCGTACGTAAGGCATCTAAACTCACGTCCATAAGGGAGACATTGACATAGAGCGTCGCGTATCCGATCAGCTGTAACATACTGGTCGGGAGATACACAGTGAGCACGATCATGGTCCACCTCCTTGTCAGCTCGAACTCCACCTGTAATTCGGGATGGCTGATGTTTTAAACAAATAATTATCGTAAAAACTAGACATCAAAGGTCATATAGCACTACGGTAAAGTATTGTGGTAAAAGGGGTTTAAAGGAGTTCTTTATTCCCACGGTCATATGGCATTATAAGATAGTATGGTAATGAATGGGATAGAAAGAGGGGGAGTAAAAGGGTTAAGATAGGGACTGATATAAGAGAAGGGTTAAAGACAAAGGGTGATTAGATCAAATGAGGGTAATTATGCGCCTGGGGAACAAACAGGTTGTCAATTGAAAAGGCGGGGGATTCTGTCACGATGTCCGACAAGCTGGAGGGTCGAGAGAGAGAGAGGACAAGCGAGGAAAAGCGAGGGTAAGGGCTTCAGTAAAGCTGGGGCAGATAGTAGGATATGTGGGACTGAAAGAACATTGCATGGGTAGCACACAGGTGGGTCGGGGTGAGACATGAGGTAGTAATGCATAAGGTGAGTGTGGACTATTCGTGAACGGCCAAGAGCAGTTTCTCAGTCGAGGTATGGGACCGACCAAGGAGGATGGTGGTAGTTGTCGGTGGCTGGAATATGTGAAAAGCGGGGTTGGCGGGTTGTGGATAAGATGGTGGATCGTCACAAGACATCTGCTTGTTCTTTGCCGGGGATCCCGACATGGCTGGGTATCCAGCAAAACTTAACTGCTTTCTGTCCTGTAGACAGATGACAACTGGTCTGTATTTTACGTGCTATACGGTTGACTGGGTGCATGGATTTTTATGAGTGATATTGAGTTGAACGAGTCGTTAATATTGGTGAAAACGAGCATAGTTTCTTAGAGACAAAATTACATGAATTCGAGAAAGATATGGTAAGCCTAATTCAGTATATAGCCTCTAAACTGGAGAGGATCGGAAGGCGCCTAGGGCAAAAAAAAAAAAAAGACAGCAATAATGTATTGTAACATACGGTAATATATACTGTCTGGGCCTTCGTGAGTGTTGCGTCATGATTGTAATGCATAATAAGATTTCAGAAGAAAAAATTGCAATAAAAGATTCTGCCGAGGACATGGAGGAGAAGGGAGTGCGCTCTTTGTCTAATCTTATGAAAGGGAAGTTAGGAGAAAGGTGAGAGCAGCTAATGACCTAGTTAAGACAGGCACCAAGTTCAGTAGCTACTTGAAGAGGGTCAGAGATGAGGCTATTGTGGATATGGAGGACGGGGGCAGGATGGAAATGTTACCTGATAGATTATGGATCCTCCACCAAACTGCAGAAACTGATGTAGATGAGGTTACATAATTTGTTATGTGTTATGGAGGGTACATCATTTTGCCAGCTGTATGTGATGGAGTTACGGATTATGTGGTGAAAGTGAGCTGGTGCCTTCTTAAACGATATGAGGGCTATTAATTGACTGGGGGTGCCCCTTTTCTAACGAAGTATAACGTCGGGAGGTTCGGGGAATGGCTATATAAGCTACATTTAGGACCATGCAAAATCAGTTGAGCCGAGGGATGAGGCCCAGGGTAGGGGAGATCTCCAGTATTGGGCATCAATTTCCGTGTCTTAACACACCAAAAAGACAGCGAGAAAGGGAGGAGGGGGCTGCAGTACAGGGACAGGTTCAGAGATCACATAACATGGCATGCTATAGATGACATAATTCGACTAATCTTGGGGTAAATCACATACATTCAAAGTCAAATTCAAAATTGTTCCATTTGTTACAATGGCTATTATAGATCTCTTTTTCGAAACATTGTTTAACCTCCTCCACATCACAAAACACTTTAGAAACAAAACTTCCTTTTCATTCTTCTTCAAGTCTACCTTGCACTACCTACCACTTCTCCCCCCTTACCTGTAACCTACTAAGCCGTTACCGCCCTCACGCCCTGCCTCGGGTTCTCCCTTACCTGTAACCTACTGTAGCGAGTCTCATTGTTACCACCTTCGGTCACGGTAATGATATACTCGCTGAGGACGTATGCGGGCAGTTTCGTGTCCTCTCCATACAGCACCCTCGCTTTCTCGGCTGTAAACGACACCAGTTCTCGTCGCACGCTGAGCTGGAGCTGCAGGTAGCATCGCTGGGTGTCGAACGGGTAGTAGAACACGTCAAAGGAACAGGCGAACACAGCGCTGAGGTATAATGTTCCTGTTAGTTTATATTGATTCGTGATGGAATATAAATATAATGCGGGATGGAAGTGTCACATGTTAACACACAAGGTAATGGATATACAACTGGTTTTAAGTATTGCTAATAAGAGATGTCTCATATATATGTTTTCTGTTCTGACCTGTAATGCTGTTTTTGTATGATGTCGGCAGACTTTCCTGCGTATACGGTGTCTGAGGAAAAAAAAGTTTTACTATAATTTGTGAATTCCTTTAATTATATGGCCTTCATTCTATCATTGTGATTAATTAATGCCTACCATAATTCATGCTTCCTTAAGCAAGTGCTATATGATTAAACCAAGTAAGTATGAAGCACTAAGAAAATTGTAAATCGAGAATATTAAATGATAGTCATAAACGACCATACAGATTTTGACAAAAGATGGATGTAACTCACCCATTCTGACGTCATTGTAATTTGGCTTGAGCGCCGTGCCCTTTTTGTTGAGGTACAGCTCGTGGGAAAGCTGCTTGATGTTCCCGTCGTAGACATTGGGGAAGTTGAGCACAGGCCGCCAGATGCGCTCTCGGTCCCTGGAGGAGAGCTTGTTCCACTCGAGCGTGTCCCCGAGGTTGTAGTACTTGGGGCGAGGGTCGTTCCAGGACAGCTCTACCGTGAACTCCACGTTGATGACTCTCTGGATGTCGCTGATTTCCATGAACCTCTGCACGTTGACGATGGCTCCCAGGTGGATGGCTAGGCCTTCGGTTTCGTTGTCCGGCGGGCGCTCGCGACGGTACCCCTTCGGCAGGATGATCACCTGACAGTCCTCCTCGTCGGACAAGTCTACGCAGTCGTCCTTGGCGTCACACCGCTTCGCTTTGGGAATGCAGTCGCCGTTTGAACATGTGAACTCATTGTTGTTGCAGATGGAGAAGCTGAGTTGCAGTTTCGATCCGATCAGATGGTTGCACATAGATCTTCTCAACTCCCAAGTGTGTCGACCGATCGGATATGTGTCTTTGGAAGGCACTTTAAGCACGGCGACCAGCTCCTCATCTGCCGTGTCGTACATCTCCCAGTCATATAAACCGCTCTTGTACACCATGTAGCCGTAGTAGCCGTGGAAGTAGGGCTTGCCCCCCTTGTAGCCCAGCACCTCGTAGTACGTCTCTGCCTCATTGGTGTAGCAGAAGCCCCTGAGCCGAAGCTTCTTCCTGCGGTCCACCTCGCAAGGCACGCATGCAGGCCACTTGATCACGCACGATGTGTCCACCCAGCGGCCGTTGGGCAGGAACATGAGCATGCAGTTCTCACCCGTGCCGCCGTTGGGCTCGTTGAGCTCGAACTGCGTCTGCGCCACGGTGTTGTCGGTGAATTTCCTCCACACGTCCTCCTCCTCCTCGTCCGTGACCCCGATCCACAGGTGGTAGTTGGACAGACACTCCTCGGCGAAGTTGAGCGACTGCTGGTGCAGCTCGTGGTTGTCTGCGGCGTCCTTGGGCGTGTACACCTCGTAGCCGACGCGGTTGCATTTCAGCTTGGATTCGGCCATCTCTCGGGCCTCGGGGAAGATCACGTACTCCACTGCCTTCTCGCAGAAGTACGACGGCTCCACCAGCTCCACCGTGGCCCCCCCGAGCAGCTCGATGTCCTCCCTGTCCGTGGAGAAGATGTTGCCCAGCGGCGCCGGCCCGCACGAGGCCTGCACCATGACCTCCTCGGGCGTGAGCGATCGGTTCCAGATGTTGACCTGCGCTATGTGACCCCGGAAGCTCTGGTCGGTGTCGTAGGCGCCGGCCAGCAGGTCCTGCTCCTGCCCGATGGTGATGATGCCCTTCACCGGCAGAGGGACCTTGTGGGGCACGCTGAAGGGCCCTTGGCCTCCAGCTTGCCGTGGATGTAGGCCCGGTACTCGCCGTTGTGGAAGTTGTGGCAGTAGTGGCTCCACTGGTGGAGGCCGATGTCGTTGGTCATGTCCAGGAAGCCGTACTGACGCACGCCGTTGTAGTAGAAGCCGTGGTTCTCGCCGCGACGGTCTGCGGGGGCGGGACGGGCTTAGCTCGGGGACCACAGGCCCTGGGCGTGGACGGAATGCCAACGCCCTTGTTAGGCTGAGTGAGTGGGAATGGATATGATACTGATGGCAATGATAACACCGTGCACTGTCTGTTTGACTTTGCGCTTGCATCCTGCAACTGAAAACTAAAGAAGAGAGCCTTGCAGGCAACGAGAGGATATATTACAAAGGAATGAGTGAGTGAGAATGAGAAAAAAAGGCTCCCGAGCCCCGGCGGGCGGCCGGGCAGCGGACTCACACATGTGCAGGACGTCGTTGTCCTGGTCGGAGGTGGCGATGGAGATGTGGCTCTCGTAGCTCATGAGCGTGGAGGGCCGCGCGCGGAGGCACACCGTCGCCTCCGGGTACTCGGACACGTCGCCCTGCCGAGATCACGTTGGAAATGACCTTACATTATCTGTACCTAAATGCAAGGCTACGCACTATTTTACTTCCTTTACTGTAAGAACATTTCATGACGGCATTCACCAACATTAAAAATACACGAAACCTGGTAAAACGTGCATGTATCTTAAGTATGCACTGCATATTGAATTTCTGCCATCTTTTAAGCAGAATTCAAACACAACTCATATGCGTATGTGCGCGCGCGTGTATGCGTGTGTCTATGCATATGTACATGTGTATTTGTATGTGTATGTGTGTGTTTTCATACTTCACTAGAAAGGAGAAATCCACTTGGACGCAAGACAACCCCCATATAATCCGAACACACGGGGATGGGTTGCGCACAGCCACAACCCACAACTCACCTCCTTGAAGTGATCAGTCAGGTTGTAGCGCAGGAGGACGTCGTCGCGAGGGGGCGCCCAAATGTCCAGCTGCATCGCGAACACTTTAATCTTTCCATTATAGACGGGTTCCTGCGATACACCTGTAGCGTGCGAGGACGATGATGGAACACTATAAGGAGGGATTCCTACTTTGCAGGTTTAGTTCTGGTTCTATTCAAACTCCATTCGGGATTATTCAATGGGATTAGGGCGGGCGAGACACACGAAATGTTTTACGGTTTGAGTAGAAAAGTAAATATGAAGAGGAAAGTAGTTTAACATGATGTAATTGATTTGGTTGATCAGCAATGGATAGTTATGGAAATAGGTGCACTTCTCTCTCTCTCTCTCTTACTCTTTTTCTGTCTCTTGTTTCTCTCTCTCTCTTTCTACAGTCTTCCTTTCTTTCTTCCTCTTTCTTCTTTCCTCCCCTTCATCACTTTATCTTGCTCTCTCCTTTGCACTTTCTCCCTTCCTCCTTCTCTCGTTCTTTCTCCTTTTCTCTCCCCTTCCCTCGCTCTCTCACTCTCATTCTCTCCCTCTCTCTACCCCCCTCTTTCTCACCGCAATGAGCCAGCACAAGAATTGCCGCGATGGCACCGGATGGCACCTTCCCTGTCATGGCCGGCCGAGAAGAGTGACTGGCGCTCCTTCAGGGTCCTATGCGCTGAGGATTTCCTATTGGCGAAGAGCAAGGGTATTAGAGGACATGGCAGGATAGTAGTTTGCTATTATTCCTAGATCGATTTCTCTTACTATTTAGTCTCTCACCACCTAGGCCTCACGCAGTGTTGAATTATCTTGGCAGGCTCACACATCACCATTTAACTGCTATTCAAAATCACTCATGTCTCGCTATAATGAAGATTAAAGAATATTAAAGTATCTCGCCATAACTACCTTAACTTGTGGCCACTCACAGTAATTGATACTCACTATACCGCAGCAGCAAATTCGCTTTAATATGTATCAATGGGTTTATTAAATATGGGTTTAGGCTATTTCGTGTTATGTAATGAAACTCCAAAGAATGTTATATGGGCAAAGTGTATCTCCAATTTCACGTGGATGTGCACGTTTTTCTTCAACCATTATTACACATGTTTTTGTATCTGGTCCGAAAGTGCTTATTTTTCCCCTCGAATTGTACAGCTCTGCGAAGATCATTGTTATTAAGGCTTATTGTAAAACTGTAATATGATCATATGAAGTATGATACACAGAAACTATTACTCGGTATCCAATCCCTCACGTACAGTGTTAGTCTATGAAACTCTGCTGCAGTCGACCCCAAGTTA